TGTTGTTGCAGAAATGCTTAAAAGTTATGGGGTCGAAAGAAATATGGTTTGGTGATGTAAAAGTAAAAATGAAGCAATTGTAAACATGCAAAGATAAACAAACATAAATGTAACACATAAGTTGTTAACACACAAGGAAAAAATAAAGAAGGAAGCACAAAATTAAGAAAACATCACGTCATCATAATAAAGCAACACTACACCATTATCGAAACATAGTCGAAAAGGTTCATCGCCTAGCCAAACCTTACGCTCCATAACAGTCAAAATAGCGTAATACGAAATAAAATACGGATAAACATGAATCGAAACTGAAAAGAACACAAAGTCTCCACTTTTTAAAGAACTACAAGACGCCTTTCGAGAACTGGAGCTGCAAGGGAAAGGAATGTTTGGTAGAACCTCCTTTGAAGGTATCCTTGCAACAATGAGGAGTTCCTTCAATGCAGGCCAGTCTTCTCTTGAATCCTACCCCTGTATGATGGAAGAACTATCGTCCAACTCTCTATTTCTATTGGATATATTTGTCGCATTTCTTCTTATATCTTCAACTGCTAGGTGGTCTGCAAATGGCTCGATTTAGAGTTCTTTTCGAACAACTTTGCTATGTATAAAAATCATAAAATCGCCACCATCGATTCCTTATGTAAAAAGGACTTTACTTTTGTGTTTCGGATTTGTAAGTCTGTTGCAAATTTGGGGAATCTTAGTCCAGCAAGGTTCAAAATGTAACATGAACTCTATTCTTGCATGACGTCCTAATTGCTCCCAGTATTCCTTACAACATCTACATTTAACAGAAGTTATTAAAATAAATTCAAAGTATAATGCTTTCGCAACATATACAACATTTTCACATCTCATGCCTTCAAATCATACAATACATTTAAAGTTCTAGAAATACTTCATTCAAACTGGCTTTTGTTAGCATAATTTCTCTTTTCTTTGGAAAAAATGATCTAAATATGGGATTTCACGTCTCTAAACTTAGCCTATTACTTGTAATCAAGCAATACACACATACTTTGTACTATAAATTTCTAAAATGCTGAAGCATTACCATTAACTTCCATTAACAGCTTCTCAAATTGAGTCTAACAACTTTTCTTCCTTTGGAACTTTGTACTCACTCAAGGTTCTCTACTTGGTCACTGGAAAATGGTTTTTCTCACACAAAGTTGCCCCCTTTCTAGCCCTAGTTCGGCCTATTGATAACTCTAGAAAAGGGAATTTTTTTTGGCAAAATTATGGACTAAATTAAGTGCAAATGGGGAGTCCTATTCATAAAAGCTTACTAAAATAAGAAATTATATGAGAATTAATAAAATTGTATATGAAATCATTGTTTTGGTGAATGTTGATAAATTATGGCTTATTTTAGCGATCTGAGCAGAGGAAAATGCGAGGACTTTCAAAAGCTAAGACATCTAATGTTGGAACATAGCTTCCTAGTGGCATGAATTTCGTAGGATTTCTAGGCAGCGCAGTAAATATGTTTTACGCGTATTTTTCCCCATGTCCGTACACCTAATATTTGTTGCCCTAAAATTGACAGACCCTTTAAAAGACGCGTTCACACTAGCAGTCGTCAACCCAATCCCAACAGGATTAGTCAAATGATGACCCAAAAAGATAGATAGAAAGTACCCATTTTCTGATGGTGGAGCTAGCAGCTGCTCCTGAGGTTTTCCAGCGGGGTTAGGACTAAATTCGTGAAATCTTGGTTTGCTATCCTTACTACTCGTAATTTGCTGTAACTCTCTTCTTCTCATTTTTCTTATTGTTTTGATTATGAACTAAACATGTGCCTGTGGGAGGATGTATGTTTTAGAACGGATAGCTTGTGGTTGTAGCTTGGCACATTTTTGCTAATAAATAAAATTGTTTTTATTGTTTATGGTTCTGAACGACTGGCCACCATTTTGAACTAATTGATGTTGTATGATTTTCAAAAGAATGTATGGAAATGTAGTTGGCTTTGCTTAATGTTAGTTTACATTTTCAGTTAGATTGTGGATGTCTATGAATAAATTTCACATAACATTGCTCCTAAACTGTTTTGTATGCTCGATTCTTAGCCACAGAAGTTGTGAGATATCTTATCTAGGTATTTACGAAGGAAGTCAAGTCTGTTTGAGCAATAGCAAGTGTGTCGATGCTAAAACATAAGCTAGTTTTAGTATTCTAAATTGCAACCAGCTTCCCATGTGTTTTTTCTTTGATCTAAAGTATTACCTTGCGGTAGCATCTATGGTCCTAGCATCTACCTGTTCGTTGTTTTGTTGCCTAGGTTGCTTTTGGTTTTGCTATTCTCGCTCTTATTTTCTTTTTTTTTTTTGCTCTGTTTTCTTTTAATTGTAGTTGTTTATCCACTGCATAATTCTATTGTTTTAGTTTTTAGTATTTCTAAGCTAAGATTTTGAGTAAAAGGTATAGTCACTATGGATATAACCTTGTTTGTTATTAGAACCGATTTGTGGTGATTACTTGCATCTTGTTTTCACAAGAGTCGTGTGAAGTATAACACCAACCTACCTTGAAAGCTCTTACACTCACTCTAATATTGCCCTTAAAACTTATCACAGTTTTAGGCTAACCACACTCAATTTTTCTTTAGCATTATCAATGTATAGGACATGCCCTAGTATAGACTTTCTACGACTCTTTTTTTTTTATTGATAATGCTTTTTGGCTTTCAAAGATAGGGGGATTTGTAGGTCAATCTATATGTGCTTTGAGTCATGTTGTGACGTTCTTTGAGTCATGTTGTGACGTTCTTGTTCACAAGAATGATTACTCTTGATTCCAAGGGTAAACAGATGTCAATTCCAGAAGTTGTCAGCTTTATTTCACTTAAAAATGGGTATTAATGAGTTAGTTTTGTGTCCAATTCATACATTATCACTTTATCCTAGGTTAGTTAGTAAATATAAGCTCTTAATGGCAAAAGAAATGCAAAAACATAACGAAAACCACATTTTGTGTAGAAAACACAGGGGAAGGCATCTGACACCTTGTTATTTACCAAATTTCCATTCTCTAATGAAACTAGTGTTTTGAGCAATTTGATGACTTCTTCTACTCCATGTGTCTTACAGGCATTAATGGTGATGTGTTAGCAGACCTAGTCCGTCAAAGGAGTTGGGAAATAAATGAAGGCCATAATTCTTCCAACTACTCAACAACTTCCAAGTTTCCTATAAATTCCAAAATGCTTCTCATTCATTTTCATCAAACTTTGACCAAGTTTTCATCACTTTTCCAAGCTTTCAAGTGTTCTTTCTCAGCATATTTAGTCCTTGTGTAATTCCAAGTGTTATTTACCCTGTTTACCTTTTCCCGATTAATGATTTAACTAAAATTAATTATGAAAAGATTGATATTTCCCCCAACTTAAGTAAATAAACTGCGGACAGGAGGGCTTTAGACATAAAGATTCCGCCTAAGTGGCCTAGACATAGAACCTTAACCTGAGATAATGATTGGTTTTTTCATAAAACTAAGGACTTAACTAATAGATATATTATAAAGGAACATAGTTCTTCTGGATCACTTAGATATAAGTCATTTTAGAAGTCGAATCGTTACAATTCTAAAGGAATGTGCCTGACCCCTATGTTGTCCCATTTCCATTTTTTTAGCTGACTTGAAGTAAACGAGCTTTTATTATTTAATTAAAACCAAAACTCAACTAACATTATTCCTCGTCACTTTTCCACCAACTACTAAAATAATTTCTCACTCATTATTTCCCTTTTTAAAGAAAAATGCTAAGTCCCTATGGAGACGAACTTGGATTCTATCCTAAATTACTACTTGTGACGGGTGTGCATTTGCACTCATAATTGGTCTAGATTTAAAGAACCAATATATATGCTGAACAGTAGATCGTCTACACTAATTGCTTGGTTCATCTGTGATGTAAAAGAGTACTCCTCAACTTGATAGCACGAGGAGCGACCCCAATCTGATGTTGTTAAAATTTTATTTTTTATAGTGGGTTTGAAAGGGTGCAAAACGTGCGAAAGGATGTAGTCGCCCAATGTTTGTATCATTCAAGCTTCTAAGTTACAGAAATGAAGGTAGATGTTAGGGCATGTCCTATACATTGAAGGTAGTCGGATTACTCGACTGCGTGAAATGCTATAGCCTATATAAAAGCAGAGTAATCCGAGCTGCTGTAGCCCAATGCTACAGCACTTAAGAGTACCGTATAGCCTAAAGGATATTCTAGTACAATCTGATTGGTACATTAAACTTTAGCTCACGGATGTACCATCATCTATCTTTCCACTTCATGCATAACGACACACAATATATTTTTTGGAATCGGTGAAGCCAAATCAATGTCAGAACGAGCCAATATCAAGTTTGGACGAAGAAGGATGAAAAACAATCGAAAAAACGAAGCTGCAAGCTAAGAGAGCCAAGGAAGCAGCACTGCGGCACTACTACAGAGCGCCACATCACTGGATAACTCTGCTGCACGATGGGGTGCGCAAAAACTTTATTCCGTCTGTAGTGCCATGGCGCTATGGACAAGGCCATGGTGCTGTATAGACGTTATAAATACAGCAAAATCGGGTTTAGGTTTCCTTGAGCCATTTTGAGTTGTTTTTTGAGCGTTTTTGTGGTAGTTTTAAGACAAAGGCTTAGGGTATTGGCAGCAATGTTAGGTAGATCAAGATCAATGTATTATGGGTAATTAAATCTTGATTCTATTGTGAATTTTTCATTCATGTACCTAAGTATAGCGTGTTATAGTACTTATAAACTAGAAGAGCTTTTGTTGGGACCTCTATAGAGTGAATATATGAGGGAGATATTTGAGTGCTTGTAAACAATCTCATATTAGTGGAACCCGCATCTGAGCGAAATACTAGACGTAGTCATTGTTAGGTAAACCAATAAAAAAAAATGTTTCTATCTTTTATACTTTCCCTTTAATCTCTTATTGTGTTTGATTGCTTTTATTTACTGGATATAGCTGTGGAAGGGGAAATTGTTAGAGCCTTAATTTCCCAACAAGTGTATACGAGCGAAGGTTTCAGTATCATGGGGTCAAGTCATAAGTCTCATTGCTACTTCAACGGGGTTTTGAGATTCGATGGGGAAAACTTCGAGTTTTGGAAGATGCAATTGACGAATCTTCTTACATACAAGAAGATACATACAACTATGAAGGAATGATAGGAAGGGATAACAGAGAAAGAATTGACAGAGATGCATGAGCAAGTGGTATCAATCATTATATTGTGTTTATCGATGAGCGTAGGGAGTCTCGTGGAGAGGTAGAAAACAACAATGGGACCGATGAATGCTTTGACTGATAGGTATAAAAAACTTTATGCCAATAATAAGGTGTATCTCATTATGAGATACTTCAACATCAACATGGAAGAACGTACCTCAGTGAACTCCCATATAAAACAGGTCACTTATCTGATGAATAAGTTGGAATCAATAGAGATTACTTTTTCAGATTAGGTGAAGGCTATAAAATTGCTATCCTCTTTGCCTGACAGTGAAAAGATGATGAAGACGAGAGTTTCGAATTCGTTGGGTGACAAAAGTCTAAATTTTTTTCAAATATATGTGATGCTGCAATTGTTGAGGAGGTTCGTAGAAAAGGGTGTGAGAAGAATTCCGCATCCACTTTCGATGGGGAGAACAATTTGGAATTAACATTGATAGCTCGTAGCAAGGGCAAAGGAAAGATGAACAATAAACGAAAGTAGCAATAAAGCAACTAGAGATGTGGGAGCAGTAGTGGAGATGTGGAGTGTTCTTATTGCGCGTTTTTGCAAGAAGCTGTAGGAGGTTCCAGAGAAGGGTGATTATGCTAATGTTGTAGAAATAATAGAAGGGTTTCCAGCATGTGTCGAGAACGACTCAGTAGATCGATCATCAGAGTTGGTTATGGATATTGCAGCATCGGCACATGTTTCTTTAGACAAAAAATGGTTCACATCTTTCACTAGTTAGCATGGCGAGGTGAGGATGGGGAATGAGAATATCTCCAAGGTTAGAGGAATTGGGGATGTATGCTTGAAGATCGATAGGGGAAAAGAGTTGGTGTTGCGAGCTGTCATGTATGTTCTAGGTTTTAAAATGAATATGTTATATGCTGGGAAATTAGATGATTACAGTTACAAGAGTGAGTTTCCAGAGGGTAGCTGGAAACCTCTGAGGGGATCTGATAGTGGCAGTGAGCCACAAAGAAGGTTCAGTTTATGTGTCTAAGTTTGAGGCTGCCAGAGGATCACAAAGACAAATGATGCACATAGCTGCAAATGGTTCAAGGTGAGACTTGAAAAGACCAGCAACAATGATAACCAAGACAGAAAAAGAAAATCTACCATAAGTTAAGTTCAACAGGTTGTTAGTTTCAAACCAACTTGAAGCCCTATATAAGGGGAGCTCCCCTTAGCTATTCAACACTGAATTAGCATCCATTTCACTTCAGTCTCAGTTTTAAAAGATAGTTTAGTTTTGTTATATTTTTTTCCCTTTGTTATTTTAGTATTTTTTGAAACCCTAGCCTTGTTATATTTCGTTCTTGCTTTACTTAAAGTTAATTTTAGTTGTTCTTCATCTATTTCAGTTCTTTAAAGTTTTTTAGCGAGTCTTAAACTCCTTTCAAGCTTGAAAGATAAGAAGGTGAAGCTCTGACTCATTGTACTTTGTTATTCTTTGAATTAAATCAATGGAAATTATTTCTTCTAAATTTTCATGTATTTTCCTTTCATTAATTATGCACTGATTTAGTTTCAACCTCTCTATAGAATGCCTTAGCAAAAATTATTTAATTTTAACACGGTTGGAAAACTGCCTAGATTGCACCTATCGCATTTCTAGGTTGGTTTCCAAAAACTTTTCTTTAAATCACTTCTTAGGTTGGCCACTGGGAAATTGATCTATGCATCAAAGACTAATACTGAGAAGCTTAGGTTAGGTAAAATAATAGGAAACTAATATGTTATGTGACTTAGACATAAGCACATAAACCACGGTCATAGACATAGGCCCTCTGACCTATAAAGGCAAATGAGTTGATAAATACATTATAGGATTGTAACTACACATAGATATATGATAGTAGGTTACCCTAGGCTCTAAAACAACCAAAAACAGTTTGTGAAAGAGTAGAACTCAGATTTCCAAAAATTGCAAAGTAGAGCCTGACACTTTTTTCTCAAGTGTGTATTTTCTTTCAAAACTAATGCACAAAGCAGAGAAGTTGTGTTTTATAAAAAAGCTTGATATTTTCAAACCCAAACCACAACTTTATCAATCATTTTTACCTATAAACTTTGATTGCAGTTTGAAACATTTCATTTCATCGAATTCGTTTTGAAAGCAAAAAGTCCAGTAGGATGCGACCTTGGAATTACTTCCTTGTATTACTTGTGATCGTGTACGCTTGCACATGTTTCTTATCCCTTGAGATAGAGAATATTCTGAACAAGCTTTTGGTGCTGTTGCTAGGGACTTATTTTTCAAAATTATTTTCATTTTAAGTTAATTGTTTCATATTGTGATTGTTGCACACCTATATTATTTGGAATTTAAATATTACATCTAATCTTTAAGGGTTGAGTTACGTGTATGAGCACAGGATTGGGCTTATAGAAGTTTGATCAAGAATTGAAAGAACCCTTTGAAGGATAAGACGTGAGCGAAGGTTAAGAATACAAAGAGAAAATAAAAAAGAGAACGAAGTTGAAGAGACCATCGAGATTAATCCAAATCTACGCAATCCACTAAATCCACAAAGACCTTTGAATGGAGACGTGGAAGGCCAAAGAGCAAACCATGCAAGAGAAGCGCCTAACTTTTACCCTGTTAGCTAATAATGTAGATGTAGCCATGCAGAACTATGTCACTCATGTGTTCAACAATTTAAATTTGGGAATAAGTAATTCACTATTGCAAGCCGTACAGTTGCAACTTAAGCTGGTCATGTTCCAAATGTTACAAACAACGAGACAATTTGGAGGCTTAACCAATGGAGATCCCTGTTCCCATATGAAATCTTTTATTGAAATTGTAGATGCATTTTATATATTGTGTTTCTAAAGATGCATTAAGGCTTAACTTGATTCCCTTTTCTACCATGGACATTGCTTAATGCACTAGAACCAGATTCGATGACCATTTGGGCGCAACTGACGAAGAAATTTTTTAAAAAGACCAAGGAAAGCTGATTTTCAAAAAGACATTCTATTATTCTGACAAATGGAGAATGAGGCAGTACAAGAAGCTTGCGATCGATTCAATGAATTACTGAGAAGATGCCTGAGCCACGGATGTCTCACTTGTTTACAAA